AATAATTTTAGACCACACCATCCACACAGTGCCACCCAGCAGCAGCTGTTGCCTGTCCACTCTCTGTGACCCTTAATCCACAGATATTCAGCATGATTCCCTGACTAGCTGCCATGACCACCCTACTTTGTTTGTTAACTCTCAGTATTTACCTGAGCTCTGAGTTGGATTCTGACTCCCATCCTAGAACTTCAGCACAGAACTTAGTATCTGGCATTCACCTTCAGCCTGATTCCTCACTGTCTGTGACCCTTTCCTTATTCCAATTTCACTCTCAGCTTGTATCTTGATTCTGATACTGGCTCTGACCTCTGGCTGCAGTTCTGGATCTTCAAATTCCTACTGCTGATCCTACCTACCTTTCCCAGAATCCTGAAAAGAACCTGTGTTATCAGAAAATGTTCAGAAGATACCTGGATTATTTTGTAAATTAAGCCTTCCCTGACCTGCTCTACCTTGACTATTAAACCTCCCTCTTACATAATCACAATCCACGTAGGGTTGCCCTTGGTGTTGGGCTTTTAATTTTCTAAACAAGGAAATTCTCAGGAGCAAACTGTTACAATTGAGTTAATAGTGGTAGCACATACCAGTAACTTATGCTTAAAAAATCATTACAATGATATTGTTGTTGTCCAAAAATATATAAAGTAAAGAAACTATGGTGTGGAGGGCACAGAAGAAAATCTAAAATATGCTCACTAAATTTCTTAGAACTAATCCAAGACTGAAAATACTAATACGCATCAGTCAGAATGATATGGCTGTTGTCTGTAATCATTACGGATAGAGATAAGGTTAAATGAATATAGCCATTCTTTAGCATGTTTCCTACCCTAAATTATATTGCTATGTTAATAGATACTCTCCAATTAAATTAACTTCTATTTATTGTAAGTCTGGTTTGTAAAAAATATACTTATAGGGCTGTTGATTAATTGCAGTTAACTTAAAAATGTAATTACAATTAAATATATTATGATTATTTGTGGTTTTAATTACATTGTTCTTCATAGAATACCAATTGAAATGTATTATAAATATTTTGGATGCATTCTACATTTTCAAATATATTAATTTCAATTGCAACACAGAATATAAAGTGTACAGTGTTCACCTTATTGTTTTTATTACAAATATTTGCACTGTAAAAATGATAAAAAGCATTTTTCAAGTCACCTAATGCAAGAATTGTAGTGCAGTCTCTTTCATGGAAGTGCAACTTGCAAATGTAGAATTTTGTTATATAACTGTGCTCGAAAACAAAACCATGTAAAATTTTAGAGTAAAAAATCCACTCATTCCTACTTCTTGGTCAGCCAGTTGCTCAAACAAACTTGTTCATATTTACTGGAGCTAATGCTGCCTGTTTCTTATTTACAATCTCATATTTAAGTGAGCACAAATGTTAGCATGGCATTTTTGTAGCTGGCATTGCAAGGTATTTATGTACCAGATATGCTTTATGCTACAGCCACCATTCCAGAGCATGTGCTTTCATGCTGATGACACTTATTAAAAAAATGCATTAATCAAATCTGTGACTGAACCAGGGGTGAAAGTAACTTAAATTCTTCTTCGGGTAGTGTCCCCGTGGATGCTCCACTGTGGGTGTCGGGCTCATCCCAGCGCCGTAGTTCAGAGATGTTTTAGCTGTTGTTCTCCGGTGGCCATCTTGCGGCATGCGCGGTAGCCGTCTTGCGGCTTTTCATGCCGTTTCTGGTCACGTGGTCCAGCCCCGCCAGTTCCTTCTGACCGTCTTCGGGCGCAGACGGAGAGATAGCTCCCTCTCGCAACCATCCTGTCAGGACAGAGAGAGGAGAGTTTTGTATATAGTTAGACGGTTCATTAGTTAATTAGTTCTTTATAGTTCTCTAGTTGTTAGTTAGTTTTAAAAAAAATTATTATTTCTTGTTCTTCAACCATGCCTGAGTCACCGGGCTGCCAAAAGTGTCTGACATACCGGGATTCTATGCCCGCGTGAGACTGGCACTCTTCCTGCATAAAGTGTCTTGGGGAAGGCCATATTCCCCAAAAATGTCAGCACTGTTCAAGGCTGACAGCAAGAGCGCGGCACGACTGCGAAATGCGCCTCAAAATGCTCCTATTTGAGAAGGCGCTCTGATCGCAGATAGGAGCCGAAGAACAATCATCATCCCCGCCAGCCCTCCCCCGTGGCGATGAGCTCCTGAAGAAGTAGCTCCCCATCTCGCTCCTTGCCAGCGATGAGGGTGAGCTCCGAGGACAAGCCGGTCACGTCTCACAAAGCAGCTGCTTGAAAGCAGCACAAAGAGAAGCTGGTGTGAAGTATATCAGCTGTGAGCTCAACGGTGCACATGGCGCTGGGACCGAAGCCGACCCCGGCACTGATGCTGGTGTAGCCAATCATGGCACCTCTGGCACGTGACCTCCTGGCACAATCTTTGGCACTGAACATAACAGCACACGTGGTGCCCAGCTCCTCAGCACCGGGGGAGTCAACGGCACAGCACCGACGGCCCCAACGGCCCCGCTGCCAGAACGTGCACTGACAGCAGCACAAACGACGCCGTCGGCACCAACACCCCAACCACATGTCCACGTGGCATCGTACCCCCAGCACCGCTGAGACGCTCTCCAACTCCATCATATTCCCAGAGGATCTCCACACCAAGTGAAACCCCACCCACACCCCGATGCAGGTGTCCCCCTCCTCCAC